GAAATTTTTCCTAGTATTCAATCTAAACCTCCCTGGCACAACTTGAGGCTGTTTCCTCTTGTCCCATTGCCTGTTGCCTGGGAGAAGAGATCGATCCCCACGAGTCTACAGCCTTCTTTCAGGTAGCTGTAGAGGGCTACCCCCCCTAGCCTCCTTTTCTCTAGACTAAACAACCTTGCTCAGGATGTCTCTGTACAAGCCAGGTCAGGTCTGGCAGGGTATAGTCACCTGCCAGGGTGCAGTGACCAGCCTGATACTTAAATCCTCTTATCTGACTTGGGATAGCACACCATTCTGTGCTGTGTGCGACGAGCAGCTGTGAGTCTGTGCCATACAATTGGAGTCATGTGTTTCTCTTCCTCATGTGTTCTCAAAGCTCACTTGACATTTCATTTGCTCCAGTTTACTTCAGCCTTTACCTATATTGCCTTGAAGCATTTCAAATTTCCTACTTTAAAAGCTGATGTTTCCAAAGCATTTACTAATTAATCAGTGGCTTTGAACTTTCTGTATCCAAACTCTTGCAGGTAAAAACACGGGGAAGTTGACATCTGCCTGAGATTGCTGAGGTGATAACTGAATGTGATGGCAGCTGTGAACTGTGCTGCTGAAGGGCAAGCACAGCCTTGGCTGAGCAGAGCTCTTGTGCAGTGAAACAAACAAGAACAAAAGATGAATGTCAGCAAACGTTTTGCAAAATAGGAGGGTCAGAAGTGAGTGGAAGGAATTATTTGAGGAACATGGAGGATAGTGGGCAGTTTGAAGGAAGATGAGAATTTTTCTGGAGCTTTGTAGATGAGGAAGAGCTAGAATGTTACTCTAGCTAGTGAGGGGCTCATTGAGAGATGCCAGAGACCAAGGCAGTGAGCTTTTGTTGGGTGGGAAATGACATAACAGGAAATGCATAAGCTGTTGTTGTTCTCCCTCCTGTTCATGTCAAGGAATTGAATTAAATTCCTGGCTTTCTTCTCTTGCACTGACAAAGCCGCAAATGAAACTTGAGAGCATATCACAGAATGGTTCAGGTTGGAAGGGACCTCTTGAGATCATCTAGTTCAAACTTTCTGCTCAAGCATGGTCAGATAAAGCAGGTTGCCCAAGACCCTGTCCAGTTGGGTTATGAACATCTCTACAGGTGGAGACTCTGCAGGATTTCACAACCTCTCCGAGCTATCTGTTCCAGTGTTTGACCACTCTCAAGAGGAAAAGTGTTTTCTTGTATTCAGATGGAACTTCATGTGTTTTGGTTTGTGCACATTGCCTCTTCCTGTCAGCGAGCACTATGACGAAGAGCCTAGCTCCCTCGTTTTCACTCCCTCCTATCTTATCAATATAAGATCCCCACAAGTCTTCTTTTCTCCAGGCTGAAAAGTTCCAGCTCTTGAGTCTCTCCTCTTGTGAAAGATGCTGTGATCCCTTAATCATCTTTGTGGTCCTGTGCTGGACTCAAGCTGTAAAGGTAAAGCAACCTTGCAATAAACTACTCAGAATTTAAGGTCAGGTTGGACAGATGAATGTTCTCAAGTGTGTCTCAGCCCAGAGGGATGAAGTGGCAGTACATGGGAAATCCCCTTTAGCCTGACACTTCTGTCATTATTTGATTGCCAACTTTTGCTAATTGCTGCCATTTAGGGCTAGAGACCTAAATTCACAATGGATTTTCAGATTTGGCAGGAACTGCCAGTTGGTGTTTACTTCTGGTTTTCAGTTCTCTGTGGAGGAATATGTTCTGAGTAGTCGTATCTCAGATAATTACATACAGCATTTATTTCTGCCAGCTTAATGAAGTGGCCTTGAAGACATGAGGTATCATGCAGTCCTCCCTCACCCCCCTTTTTTTCCCTCTTTGAAGGGGAAAAATTAAGTGAATTCTTAAAACTATATTTTTCTCTGTTGTGTTGGAGCAGAATATATGCTTCTTTGACCCTGCTCTTTGAAGAGGAACGGGTGAGGTATTAGTCAGCCCTCTGGGTGCAAATGAGAGCCGGGTTCATTATATGGGAGCTCAGCAGCCTGGCTGGTTCCCACTGCCTGTCAAGGAGAGGAAACTGTGACGCTCTTGCACAGGATTTCAGGTCGAGAGAACATGCAGGTAGCATGCCTCCCCTTGCAGATGCTAGTATGGGTATAAATGACTGATGCTGAAAACACAGACTTTCAGAGAGCTGGTTAGGGCAAACAAAGGAACCTTAACTAAGCCCCCAGGTGATACTGAGAGAAATGTGTTAATGTCTTTATCCATCTGTAGCAAATGGGGTAGAGCAGTTGAAATAGTCTTCCCAGCTGCAGGATGGGTGAATTGTTTGTCATCGAGGTGTGTCATGAAGTCCCAGATTATGCACATTGAAAGCAATACTTCATGACTTTTCTTTCATGACAGTATGAGATGCAAGTAGTGCTAGCATAGGTGCATACCAGCTTTCTAAGCAGAGAAAATGAAATGATAGGTCAGAAATAGTAAAGGACAGAAACTGATGTGGTTAGGAAGTGTTAGGCTATAATAGTCTTCATGCATATTGCTAATATTAATATGTTTCTCTGTGGCTTGTTGTTCTGATAAGCTCACAAGGTGCTGTAAGGTAGTCTCAAAGATCAATTCAAGGTATCTGCCAATGTGAACTGCAAGGCTTTAAAGCATCAGCTTAAAATAAGAGCCCAGTGGCCATCACGGATGGCTTCTTTCAAATCTGAAACAGCTGAAGTCATTTCTGAAAAAATCTTTGCAGAAGTGTGTGGTCAAACCAAACATGCTTTACAGAGCAGGTCTGCAGTGATGTGAGAGGCAGAATTCAGGTTGTTTCAAAGACCTTAGTTGTGTACTTGAACAGTTGTTTTGCTTCCAGAGTTTTGTAGGGTTTTCATGGCTGTTTGTTACTAACTCAGAAAACCTTTGACATGGTTTTCAAAAGTGGCTTGAGAATAACAGTGGATCTTTAGTTTCCTGGGTGAAGTTTCAGTGGTGTAGTCTGACCTTAGCATGGAGTGCCACAAAAGAGTGGTCTGCCTCATCCTCCGCCTTTTGTCAGTCTTAGTGTGGTGTGTGGACTGCAAGAGTGGGATTCCAAGAGACACTGTTTGAAGGAAAGGAAGGGCAGGACTGCCCTTCCAGTAGTAACATCATCTTTGATCTACTGAAGCCACTTGTAGAACCACACCTTCAGTCAAACCGTGATCTCCTGGTGGGATGTTTTCAAAGCAGCTGCTACCCAGCTCTCTGAGGTGGAATTCCAGCTTTGTAGGCTTTTATGTGGACTGTCTTTTCCGTTATGCAAGTGTTACGCATTGTGCTTAAATTGAAGTGAGGAGATAATGAATCATCAAGTTGGATGTTCATGTTTCTTACATGTGTTTGCTCAGGATGACTAGAATCAGTGACCATGTGTTGTGAATCATGGCACCCTCAAAAGCCATTGGCCATGCACATGCCTTTTCAGTATGTGTTATCTCCTCCTGCTGCAGGTGGTGGAAGTGAGGTATTCCAGCCCCTCTTCCTTGAGATTTTGGTCACGTACACAGTGTCTGTTGTCTGGGCAGCCAGAACCCTGCGTCTTCCTCAGAAACTCTTTCCTGTCTCTGTCCTGTTCCTTTGCACCCCAGCTAGTTCTTTAGGTTACTGTCACAAATGGATCACTAGATCTGTGAGACTCCCAGCAAAACTTGGCATAGTAAAATACACCTTGTTTCCTTGATGGAGGATGAGAAATAGTTTATTGTAGTTTCCAGCTTTACAGGATATATGAAACATGACTACATGACTATGTTCTTTGTAAAACTGAAAATCTGGGTTTAGGTGCTGTGCTTGTAGATGAGCTGCTTGGGGTGAGGGGTTTGGAGAGAAGGAAGAGATGTCCCATACTTTATTTGTTCTGCATGGACAATTTTATGGTCATATATTTTCCTGTGTTTCACTCTTCTCACTTGGTGTTTCTCTCCATGCTTCTCTCCACCCTGTTGAAAGGGGAAAATGTTGCTACATTATAATCCAGTTTTGAGGGGTTATCACAAGATGTTGCACTGGTCAGCATTTATCTCCTTGGTGAAGCAGGGGCTCTGAAGTTAGCATGATGAAAGATTACTTTCCCTGGGTTCCCTGACTGCTTATTGGTAACCTGCCTTCTTGCCAATGCAGCTGGAGTTGCCCTGGGAGACTTAATGTCCTTGCTAGCACTTGTAAAAGGAGACTGGCCAGTTGCAGGTTTTACATAAAAGCAGGAGCTCTCTTTGAGGGCCTTCCCTCTTGCTCTGGGTATACTGAGGTGGAAGTCTGAGGCCTCGAGAAGACTAGTTGTCTCAACTGGTTGATAGACCGAATGGGAAGTGTTCACAGATGCCAGCGAGGGCTTGGTCTGCACATGCAGAACCTGTAGACAAACTGTTGACCAGTTGTGCCATTTGCATTAATATCTGGATGAGAGAGTGGTCTGGACAGACTGCTGCCTCCTTCCAGGCATTCATGTGCCCTGTGGTGTAAGGGCTGACTTGTGAGAAACCACAGCTGTCGGCTCCATGGCGATAGCCTGCCAGCTTAGCCAGGAGGAAATGGATAACAGAGCGAGCTCTGCACGCTCTGCAGCAGCCGGTCAAAATAACCGGCTGCTTCATATTAATTTCTGAAGCTGCTAAATGGGTTTTGAGGCACGTGTCCCTGCCTACATTTCCCTGGGTATTTCTCTGGGGTGAGTTTCTGCGGGGCAGCTGTGCAGGGAGCCCAGTAGGGCAGGCGAGAAGGGTGTGAGGCTGCTCTCTGCAGTGCAGCCACTGACACTTCCCGGAGCGGGGCATGTTCTTCAAGGGGAAATGTGGTTGAGTTTCTTGGACCGCATCTCCTCCCCTTGCTGCTATTCTCACAAGTATTTCACAGACTGTGAGGCCTGAGGTAGCCTTCGTTTAAAAGGGAACAGAAAGGGAGAGCCTTTTATAACCACGAGCTTTTGACCTACAGCAGCTGCTCATGGAGAAGCTCAATTCAGGTATTCACTGAACTTTCTAGTGAGTCTGTTGATCTCAGTGATGGCCTCTCTAGCCTGGGTATCTTGACAATGATATAATTGCTGAATCTGTATATGCAAATGGGTTGTCATTATTCAAGTATCTTAGTGAGTGGGAAGCCTGATCTAACAATGCTTTAGAGCATGGGTATTATTGAATGTAATGAGATGTTTTCCTCTTCCAGTGCTTGCATCTTCACAACTCAGTCAGTAGCACATGACTGGGATGTGCAAGATGAATCAGAGGATCACTTCACTGCTTATGTGGAAATTTGGTACTTTGCAATTTCAGTATTTTCTGAATGAAAAAACAGATGAATAAGTCATACCCAAAACTCCAAGTGCCTGTTCCATCAGCTGTTAATCCAATTACTGATTAACATTGCTTGCTTCTTCCTGTATTACCTAACAGCTCTGTGCTCACATATGACCTCTGGGCAGTCAACTCTGTTACAAGAATGAGGAAGTGCCAGACAAGATCAGGCAATGGCAGAACTTCTTAAAAGCTCAAGTTGTTTTTATCTGCTGATTTGTTTCTAGTATCAAATACCATTGTTAAAGCAGAGAGACTGGGGCTTGTTCTCTCCTTGCCTTCCTCTTATCCTTTATGTAGACAATGTAGCTGAGATCCACAGCTTTAGGTTTCATTTTTCCCTGAAAAAGGCCTTACATTGGGCAAGTGAGGTACAAATTACCACACTAATGGTTTCATATTGGATCGGGGATGATGCCCTGAGGATCACGGTGCTGGCAAGTGTCTGTTGAGCATATGTTGCAGGCACAGGCTGCCCAGGGAGGCTGTGACTGCCCCAACCCTGGCAGTGCTCAAAGCCAGGTTGACTACAGCCCTGAGCAGCCTGGTTCGGTCAGAGGTGTCCTTGCCCAGGGCAGGGGGCTGGCGCTAGATGATCTCCAAGGTCCGTTCCAAACCCTTAATATACTATGAAACTATGAAACATTAATGCTTTGCTATAATTTGGTCATCATTGGCTCTCTTATCTGCGGTGAGCTTGGCCTTTCTGATTTAGTCATATTGGAAATAACCAACAGAGATTATAGAGACACTGTTCTAGAAACAGTTGCTGCTTCTTCTCAACCCCAAAAGACATGACATCTTGCTCTGCATAGGCCAAACACCTGATGTGACAGCTATCATCTAAGGGAAGAATGTGGGACCAGTGCTTTATTCTCCCCTGTATACATCTGGGCAGCTTGGCACTCCCAGGCTGGGAGTAGCCCATGTTTCTCTAAGAGAGGGATTCCCAAGATGTGTCTGGCTCTTGCAGCTGGTGACTTCAAATAGTTTTGATTAAAATACTAAGTTAAGGAATTTAAAGCCTCAGTTCATTTTCTCTAGTACTTGGTACCACTGTTTGAAAATTCAAAAAGCCACCTTCAGTACAGCCTTCAGCCTTGCATCAAAGTAGTTTCTTAGTCAAATCTTCAGGTTTGTGTTGGTGCAGCATTAAAGTCTGTTTGCTAAATTACATGTACTGTTCTAGGTTTATTTAAGAAATCTAGGTGTTAGTGGTTATACCTGACTTGAACTTTAGAGTTGCAAACTTTTGGCTCTGCTCTTTCTACAGCAAACATTTAAGCAACAATCTACTTGTACTCATGTGAGTAGGCTCACTTGCCATGTGGAGCAATTCACATGCTTAAAGTTAAGTGTGTGTGCACCACTATTTGTGACAAAAATTTCAGCTGAAGCATTTGCTAAAGTTTTGTGGCTTAAAGCTTGTCTCCTGAAACAAGGTTGTTTTCATATAATTCATAAAATCCCATTTAGATGTATAGAAAATATTTTTAAAGATCTGCTTGACAAAGAGTTTTAAATACCCTAAGTTTAAGTCCTTGGTAGTAATAATAATGAACTCATCTAGATTTAAATTCCTGACTGACTTCACTGAAGCTAGGAGGACATGAACTCTTAATAGAGGCCTGATTTTACTAACTTTGGCTCTCTTGATTTGTGGAAACTTGACGTACTCAGAGGCTGGGGGATTCTGAGTAAAATCTGAACTCTTGACAGCTTTACTGTCTGGATGCCACAGGTTAGACAGCATGATTGATTGTTTAGGTCTTTCTCATCAGGACTGGGCATTTTAGATAGAACATTTCTTACTAATATAAAAACTTTGCCAGTCCAAATCTGAGATTTTGTCTAGTAAATAATTTGTATTGCTCCTTACAGATGTGTTTTATGGTAAGCAGTAAATAACAAATAACTTCGAAAATGTTGTCTTAAGTCCTTGACTCCTCCACAGCTTTCCAAAGTTTGGAAAATTTTGGGCATGGGAGATAATTTTAAGAATTCATCCTAGTCTTCTGACAAGGGGAAGTCAGCAACTTTCACCCCATGTTCTGGGAGATGGGAAGGGGGAAAAAGTGCGAACCATGTGAATGAAGAGGTAGAAACTAGCTAAAAAAATGCTTTCTACTAAGTAGATACAAAATTGTCTTTTGTTTCCTTTCTCTATTTGAGAAAAGTATTTCCTGGCAGGGGTAGATAATCTATTTTATTTCTGGCTAGGGTTTTTTTCCAGCCAGTGGTATCAATTCAAATTGTTTGCTCTTCCATCATTTGTGCTGTTATTGGGAAAATGGAATGAGAACATTGTCTTGTACACATGTATTGCAGGGTTGCATGTGTTTACTTGTACTCTTGAGTCTATTTAGATAAAGTGCTGTTACTTCTCAGAGCAAAAGCTCTGGTGCATTTCAATTTCACTCTTGTGTACATACTGGAGTTTATATTTCTTGCTCAAGGAACAGAACCCCTCAGACTACTGCCTCATGTTGTATTTTTCAATGCAGTAAGGAACTTGGGAGTTTGGGGTGAGTAACATAAACAGGATCCAGAAAACTAAAGATACTACTGAAATGACAGAAAAGTTGGGTTTTATCATTTACTTTAGGAAAGAAAGACTAAAGGCTGCTGCCCATCCTACAGTGTGTCAGAGTGCAGCTGCCTTTATGAGTCCAGCTGCTGATGGATTGTTCTTATATTAGACATTCACATGCTAATTTTCCTATTTAACATGAGAGAGGAGTACCCATTTCGGCAAAGAGTGGCATTGCTGTTTGTTTCATAAGCATGTTCAGTCTACTCTGCCACTTTTGTCTTTGTGAATTTTCCCCAGAAATCCTCTTATAGAGAGCAAAAAGAGGAAGCTCTGTAGTTTCCCTTTCTTCAACTAGATCCCCTTTTCTGAGTATTACTTTAAGAGGAATAGCAATTTCCACCCTGCTACCTTCCTGGCTGTTTCTCTGTATGGATGTGTGTGATAGGCATTCAGCAAAGGGGAGTGATGTAACAGGACTCTACACTTTATTTTAGACTCGGGCTGTGACTCTGTGACTGATACAGAAACAGAAGACGAGAAGAATCCAGTTTACTCCCACAGAATTACCATGAGTGAAGAACATGGATCATCCAAGAGCACTGGGGACCATCCAGTGGTGCAGCCTGACCGCATACAATGTGGGGTACTGTATGTCCTCTGCTTGGGCTATGTTCTTACTGTGAGCAGTGCAACTGTTATGCTGCTCTGTAATGGTCAGCTTTACAGGCCTGGGAATTAGTCCCCAATTATTTTTGTGCCACTTTCCCTCTCAGCCTCCTGTGCTCAGTGTCTCAATTTCAAGAGATTGGTTCCCTGGGCCCAGGAATAGCTTGGTAACATGCAGTTTCCAGTTCTGTCTAGGCTGCAATGTCACTTATTGACATTGTCATTAACATAGCTACTTGGTTTGTGTGCTGCGAGACAGGTTCTCGCTCTTCCTTCCTCGGTTCCAAGTGGAATAAAGTGATTGCAATGAACCAATTAACTCCACGGCCTGGATGCAGTCTAAATATGACAATTCTGGTGCATGCCTTGCAAGTGACTCTGAAGAGGTTGGATCATGGCTACTTGTCTGTAAAACAGCAGTTCTTAGTATAGCATCTCCTCAGAAGGAAAGAGTCTTAAGTTTCTTCCTTTATTTCTGTTTAGAATGTGGCTGTTCTGCTTGAGGGAAGAGTCTGATGGAGCTGGAACTAAATAATTTTATAAATCTAGCTTTAATCAGTTTATAAATCTACCTGATAAATCTGGAGTTTTATCAGTTTAATGCATATGTCTATGCTGGTGCAAGCTGTAACAGAAGCCACCTGCCCAGTTAGTCCATGACTGGAAGATGCTGCTAAAAACCATTCAGGACTGTGAAAATGACAGATGGTAGTTCACACATTAGTTGCAATGACAACAAAATCCCTGGAAAATGGACTTAACAAAGCAAGTGTTTTTATGTTGTGAACCTGTATGTTGTAATGCCTTTTCTCTTAGGTGCAGACAACAGTTTATATTATCATGAAATGTAAACTAGATGGTGATATGAAAACTGAAGTTGAATTCTCTCCAGAGAATGCGTCCTCTGTGCGTGTGCTGGCTGAGATGGAGAATGAGTACACAATCTCTGTGAAGGCTCCAAGTAAGCTGAGCTGAGATTTTCTCCCCTTCCTCCACCCATTGCTTCCTTTCTATCTCAACCTGCCTATCCTGAGCAGTGCCAGAGGGCTAAAGGTAAAGGTTGCAATGCATGAAAACTTGAAGACACAAAATCTTGAACTTGCTTCTCATCTGTGATACTTTTGTGATGAGGAACTGAGAGAGACTGCTGCTTGGGGGCTCTATTTTCCCCTCAGCAGCAGTAGGTTTGCAGTAGGGAAACACCTTACTGGGAGTTCCAAGAGCAGATTGCAGCTTGTAAAGCATTTTGAACTTAACTGTGTGTTATAATCACCACCACATTAGCATTGGCAGGGCACCAAGAGAAGGTAAGTGGCAGTAAATAATTGCATGACTACAATGGCATGTGCTTAATATGTGTGATCAGAGCTGAAGCTATTTTTTCTGCCTTGCCTTTTAACTTAGAAATGTTCTGTCACTCTGGATATTTACATTTACAAAACTAAAGGTTGCCTAAACTTTAGGTTCACTAAACCTTAGGGGCATGATTTCAGAGTCTTAAAGATTGACAGTAGTTTCCCAGCATTATTTTATTTAATCTACTTTGGTCTATCCTCCTGAAGAGTCACTGTGCCAGCTCTGAAATGGAGACTAATAGTCATTATAGCAACTCCTGTAAAGTCAGTGAGGTGGGTTGATTTAAAGAAGGTGACCTCACTCACATATAAAGGTTCAATTTATTGTGTCTTAAATCTAGTCTTGTAATATAAACATTGACGGGAAACTTAACTTGCACTTTGAATTATAAATATGACCTTCACAGTGATGGACTGTACAATGTAAGCTCTTTCATTTCTAACAGTAAGAGAAATATATTTATAATTCCTTTCTTGTGTCACTGTTTCATCATTTCCTGGATTATTAACAGGGCAAGATTAATTTCAGTGGGATTCAAAATATCTGTATTTCAAAGAGAAAGTTCAGACCTATGAATGCACACTAGACAAATCATGAAGAAGCTCCCAGGGTGCAGCAGTAGGTAAATTCTGTGCATGGGTAAAGTTTTGAAGCTGGAATTCTTTTAAACTGATTTTATTCAGAGACTAGTGAGGCTGACAGAGGTTGCAGAATCCCTAGTGTCTTTCCCCTGTCTTTCCCAGCTCTTGTATTTTATGGCACAGTTTAAAGACAGCTCCAGAGAAAGCTGGGGTGGAGATACGTGAGGCTCTGTAGCTTGAAGTGGTGTAGTGGTCCAGTCTACTGTTTGCAGAGGACCTAGCAGGTGACAGGCTATGTGCATTGACATAGCTATAAAAAAGGTAGTTCCAAAGTAGTTTCCTACCTCATGTTCAGACCAATGTCATGACTCTTTTCTTGACTTCCCATTAATTCAATACAGCAGAAACTGTTTTGATATCCATCTGGCAGTATATCTAAACTCTCCTATCTTCACGGTATTTGATGCAAACTCATGCCCATTGCTTGTTCTAATGGTGATTTCTGCTCTTTCTTTTCAAAGATTTAACCTCTGGGACAGTGCCTCTGCAGATATATTCAGGGGACTTGATGGTTGGAGAAGCAAGCATCACTTACCACACTGATATGGAAGAAATCAGCAGTCTGTTGGCTAATGCAGCCAATCCTGTACAGTTCATGTGCCAGGTAATGACTTTAGCAAACAGCTGCTTTGGAAACCACCTCTTTCAGAGGCCACACAAGTGGGCATAAGTGAAAGTGTTTGCCACGAGGTAGCTCTTCTGAAATGAAGAAATGCAAAATTTTCACATAACCTTATCATCCCCTTTTAGTGAAAGCACAGGTGCTTTTTCTGTCTCTGGAGCAAATAGCTGGCTAAGGCAAGTCAAGTTATCAAACTGACAGAAAAAATGCGGTCAATCAACACTCACGTTTAGACCCTGATGACTTGAAAAGATTGGAATGACAGAACTAGATACAACAGAAAATGCCACAAAGAAATCAATTGTTTTGGAATTTGTACCTAAGGGTTCTTGAAAGATACGTGAGTAGTAGCAAAGGTTGATACTAGCTGAAGGAATCAGAGTAACATAAAATGATTTGTTCTTAGCACTTATTTCTTTAATAAAGCCACTCCTCAGTTTTCATATTGTATTTTGCGCAGTTCGTGTGCCTGAACCCTATTAGAGGGGTAAAGCTCGCACAGGCAAGTTCTCAGATGTGTTGTCTTGCTGCTTGCACGTCCCTGATCGGCCTACAGAGGAGTGTGGTTAGTCACCAGTAAACCTGAAGCAGGGGAGACTGTTTCCCTTGCTTTTTAGTTCGAGTTGTGGAGCAGTTGGTACTGGTTGGTGCCTGGGGAATAGGCATGCTTCCCAGTGTCTAAGAACCAGTTCAAAAGCCAAACCCACAGTGTACACCAGGGCAATTCAAAATGGACTAGTGCATAGTTAAAGCAGGAGTGACACTTCATTGGAACAGTTTCAGACAGAAGATTATACCTGTCAAGGAAGTAGCATGGAACAGTTTTCTGTGCTTCCAGACTGTGCATGAGTGACTTCTCATTGTGCTCTGTCTCGTTGTGGAGTGTATGGTTCTCATCTGTTCAACTTAATGATACTCTGGACCAGGAAACTACTCATGTTCTTTGCTTGACCTGAACATTTCTACCTTCCATGTTTATGCTTACTGTATTCTGATTGTGCTAAATAAAAAGAAACCTTATAAATCTCACCTTAACTGAATATTCAGACTCCTCCAAACAAAATCGCTTTCCTTTTATCTCTAGGCTTTTAAAATTGTGCCATACAGCATAGAAGCACTGGACAAACTGTTGACTGAGTCACTTAAGAAGAACATTCCTGCCAGTGGTTTACACCTGTTTGGAATCAACCAGCTGGAAGAAGAAGATATGGCAGCAAGTAAGTTGAAAGATTCTTGGTTGATTTTTAAACTGTATCAGTTGTTTTACCTTGAAGTGCATTAACACTGCAGTGTGTGGTACCTGCACAGGCTGTCTCAAAAATCTTGGATCTCAGCCAGGAAGCTAAATTTCTGATAATGCCTACAGAAAGGGGATTGCTATTTGAGTCAAGTGATATTTTTCCTTATTACATGCATCAGTATCACCTCCCTGCACTGTGACAGATGCAGCAATGTAGACAGCTTCAAACACAACCAGAGTGAAAAGAATCTGCTCCCCAAATGTCTCCCGTATTTTCTCCTTTGTTCTCTCAATCCCATGTGGCATTTCTCCACAGCCCAGTCCTTTTCCCCCAACCCCATAACCCTACTCTAAAGTTCACAGTGGGCACTCAGAAGTTGGATCAATGTGGAGTAATGACCTAAGAGGTTCTTGCAAACCTGTGATCCTACATATGTTAACCTATTACGGTGCCATATTCCCCACTGAAGATTACAGGACTTAAGGCTGGAGATGCACTAGATACCTTGGTTAATTTGTGCAGTTAGCTCCATTTTGAAACCTTGTATATACTTTGCAGGGATTTCACACCTGCTTTGGTCTGTGTTTGCTAGGACTTTTGTTCCTCACCTACTGGGTCTGTTGCCACTAGAGAGAAACTTAGATTCTAATGGGCTCCTGTTCTCACAGATCAGAGGGATGAAGAGTTGCCAACACTGCTTCACTTCTCTGCAAGATATGGACTGAAGAACCTCACTGCCTTGCTGCTTACATGCCCTGGAGCACTGCAGGCCTACAGTGTAGCCAACAAGTATGGCCACTATCCAAACACCATAGCAGAAAAGCATGGCTTTAAGGACCTCCGCCAGTTCATTGATGAATATGTGGTAAGAGGAAGCAGCAGCCATTCTGCCGTGTGCCACAGTGGGTGTGGGCAGGGGCACGAAGCTTGGCACTGAGTGTTGCATGAGCAGGAGTGATGGGGTGATAAAGGGTGCAATGTGGTGTGGTGGGATGTAGGACACAGACATCCAGCCACAATGAAAGCTTCTCTGCTGGACAGTGGGGTGCATCTCTGTAACCAGGGATATTCCTGGGGCTTTTGCACAGAGCAAGTAAGACAGAAGCAGACAGTGCCACGCTGGCTTTCCGTGTCATCCATCCATCTAATGAAGTTTCTGCAGGGATGTGATTGGTGCCTGGTGATATTATTCTAACCTCTATCTTGGGAAAACTACAGCCCCTTCATCCTTCCTACTTTAGGGAGTAATATGGGAACAGAATATGTTTGGGAAGATACAATCTGAGGTGCTCTCTGATTAGTTGTACAGTCAGGACTGCTTATTAGCCCATTCACAGCTGATCTGTGCTCCACTTGATATCTATTTCTGCCTGCATTGGTATTGCTGCCCATTACCTGCTTCTTGTCTCTGGGAGCCTAATTCACAATTCAGTTCTCTTTGAGCTAACCCCATCCCCAGAAAACAGCACTCTGACTTTTCCAGATTGTGACATGGACCTGCCTCCAGCTGTACTGTGGACCTGACTCCAGCTGTACCAAGCAGTTGTTTCTATGCAGTACTTGTATATGCATGGTGTTTATCCTTCCTTTTCAATTTGAGATGTTTCTGGCCTGTATGCTTCAAAATAACAAGCAGCTCCTTGACTCAGAGCACATGAATTCTATTTGCCTTTGCTTTCAGTTGAAAAGTTGTGTGTAATTGTCACCAGGTGGGTGATATATCTGCCATCCCTAGTGTGGTTCTGCCAGCCTATTACAGTAGTGTTTAAGCCCTATGTAGGAGGCATGCATGATTCTTAGGCTTGGGACTTGCTTCTTGACAAAAGCATGAATTTAGGGTTATACATTAGAGCTGATTAAAAGCCATTCCATGTTCTGAGATCAGGAGATCTTCAGAAACTGTAAATTGTGAGATCGAAATCTTTGCATTGGGGTAAGTGAGAGAGGTGCGAGAAGTCGTTCCAACCCTTATTGCAGTGCTGTGCTCATCCCATATTCTCTCCACCAGCACAGTGACAGAGCTGTGTTAAGAGTAGGTCCTGCTTACTGACCATTAAGCTATCCATGCAGTGTAGTACCACAGCAAGCAAATCATCTTACTGTATGCAGTTCTGGTGCTCTCAATATAAGAAGGACGTGGAACTGTTGGAGCAAGTCCAGAGGAGGCCATGAACTTGATAAGGGGGTTGGAGCATCTCCACTATGAGGACAGGCTGAGGAAGTTGAGGCTGTTCAGCCTGGAGAAGAGAAGGTTGTGTGGAGACCTCATAGCAGCCTTTCAGTATC